TCACCGGTGGTGCTATGGGCAATATACCTAATATGCTGTCATAAACACTTTTGCTAAAGTTATGTTGTATACCATTTAGTTTTTAGGGAATAACCTATCTAGACGGTTTGGGCCAATAAAATCAGATTAGTGACGTCAATATTACGTCATAACGACATAAAAAATTGTAGATAAGATGAATTTTTACTAGGAAATCATCCTCTGAAAATTTAGTGGCCTTACGACATACCGTTCGCGAGTTCTGAGGGGGGGGTCAAATGCAATAATAGGAAACACTCTGGATGGAGTGCATTGAATGGATACATGAATGACGTTTATTGTTGTTTCATGGTAGCCTGAGTGTCAGCCTTGTTAGCTTTCGCCCACGCCCAAGATCCGCTCCCCTTTATGGTGCAGGCGAAAGTGGAACTGTTTTTAACCCTCAACAGTACACCTTCCTGGACTGATTAATCTGTACACCTGGGGTCCGCGCGGACCCCAGAACAGTTTTTTGCTAATTTTCAGAAATTATCAACATGCTACCAGCTTAATTGTTTTGCAAACTGATGTGGGAACCTATATGCCCACATCACATACAAAGATCATACATTTTGAACTTTTTCTATTTTTTGGTGAAGAAAAGAAGACAAGAAGAAATACCCGATTTTTAAACCCATTTCAGACTGAAGGGGCTTTTGAGGCCCAACTTTGATCTCAGATAGCGGCTAAACGGCTTGCGGTAGAAGTATCAAATTTGGAGACCTTTCCTAAAAAGTTCATATTAGTTTAATACTGGTAAGTTGATGTTTTTTTGTGTTACCATGGCAACAGGTTTCTAGCAGGCAGTTTTTTTGAAAATAGAAGTAATTTTGGTTTAAACATAAATATTTTCTGAGTTTTATATTAAATTTCACTTCTTTTCCAACATTAATAACATTTTACATAATTAAATATAAGTTAGATCATTTAATATGCATAGAATATGCTAATTTGATGACGTCATTGGTCAAAATCCAATAAGGCGGACTATATTATTAGCTCTGACGTCATATGACGTTATAATTACACCAAAGTTATTAAAATTTAATTCTATTACTACACCATTCTCTGAAAACTTGGTAGACATACGATGAGTGCATAAAAACATATGAAAACGGAAATAAGGTAATGTATAAGAACGCCAGTGTATCCATTATGATCGAAAGCCGGCTGGGGTCCGCACGGACCCCAAAAGAAAATCAGATATAATTTTTTTTATAAATGGTAGAAACGGAGTTTTCTGCACTGTATTGAAAGACAACTTTGTGAGTGACAATTACCTAAAATTTTAGAAAAAAATCTATAGAAACAAAAAAGATATTACAGAATATATAGTGCTGGGGTCCGCGCGGACCCCAGGTGTACTGTTTAGGGTTAATGTGTATCATTTTAATGATAAAAGTGAAAGTCCAAATGTCATCAGGTAGGTTGTACAATTTATACGTTTATCGAAAGTTTTGTCCGACGGCTAATTGCAATTTATGCATACAAGGGCAATTAGGCACCGTAAAAAAAAAACAACTAAAAATCACCGGAAAAACGCATAATCTACATAAGGTAAATGTCTAAAACTATGTCTGGAGAGTTTATGTCCCCCTTTTCCAAAATTTGTTGGTCAGCTTGGGTAGTTAAAAGAAGAATTGTTTTTTTCTTTTTCGTCGATAGTTTATACAAATTTGTTTTGGATTGGCAAGGACGCATTTCGTAAGTTGGTGTAAAATGAACAGTTTGAGATGAAGTGTACTTCGTCTTTTACGGCTTCTTTCGCATGCAGTTAGCTTTTTAAAGCGGCCTTTTCCCTCCATCTGGTGGATGAACAGTAATTCTAACTTTAGTACTATGATCATCGAGTGCATTCTATAGTCTATAAGATAAGGAGACTAAGTTTTTTATGCGCTTACATTTTGGATAGACGCATAACTTACAGATAGCTTTTAACAAAGACCATCATGTTTTATACGTATCATCGCAATGATACACCCTGAAGACCGACATGCTACCTGCATCATTGCGGAGCTTGCCTGATTAAATCACTTTGCGGCTGCCGCCCGCCTAACATCTAGCCGGCCTCCGAAAATCTTCGGGAAAATCGAGAGGTGAAGCCGCGAGTTTGCGTTACAGATGTAAGGCTTACGAGAGTAGAAAACCAGAAACCCCTACTGTTACACTATGGTTACACAGACTATACTAACACGGACCGTGAAGGGCTTTTTTCAGACAAGAATACGCATGTTTTAATGACGATGTACTTTATTCCTGTATGTTCAACTTTATTAGTAATAAGTAGCGATCGATGGGTGTTACAATGTATGTAATTTGTGTGTATTATGCCCATGTGGAATGACCTGGAAGTAGATGTGACAATCGGTATTCTCGAAACCCCCATGCAGAGCGTAAAACAACACGGAAACCTCGCCAAAATGATGCATTTCACGGTAAACTTTGACGCCACAAATCTCATCTTCAGACCCTTTTTGTTGTGATCAACTGACATCCGTGACTTCCATTGCCGATAAAGTATACAATGTAATGCTCTTAAACCGCTTGCGGCCAGAAATAGAGAAAGTGCTCAGGAGAAATCAAAATGGTTTCCGTAAAAACCGATCTACGGTCTATCAGATACTTACCGTACGCAGGATCATTGAGGGAGTAATAGCAAAAAATCTTATAAGGCCATTTTACTTTTCGTCGATTTCTCAAAAGCATTTGATTCCCTGAATAGAACAAAGATGATGCAGATACTCCTGGCATATGGCATTCCAACAGAAACAGTTGATGCCATCATGATGTTATACCAGAGAACACAAGCCATTGTTAGATCCCCATATGGTGATACAGAACCATTTGACATTATAGCTGGCGTACTGCGAGGAGATACACTTGCACCGTATCTATTTGTCATTTGCTTAGATTATGTGCTGCGAAATTCTGTGGACGAAATGCAAGAAAACGGTCTCACTTTAGAGTATGCAAAATCTCGAAGGTACCCTGCCAAATATATCACCGATGCAGATTTATGCTGATGATCTTGCACTTTTTTAGTGATTTGATTGCACAAGCAGAGGCTCTTCTACATTGTCTGGAAAAATCAGCCAGATGTATTGGGCTGCATGTAAATGCAGGCAAAACAGAATACATGTCCTTCAACCAGCAAGAAGACGTTATCTCCACTTTGGACGGGAAGCCTATAAAGCAGGTCAAAGATTTTACATACCTTGGCAGCAATATATCTTCAACTGAAAACAACGTTAAAGCTCGCATTGGAAAAAGCTTGGGCTGCAATTGATAAACTCTCAGTGATCTGGAAATCATCTCTTCCAAACCAGATGAAATGGGATTTCTTTCAAGCAACTGTAGTTTCTGTATTGCTTTATGGAAGCAATGCTTGGACCCTCACGAAACGACTTGAGAGAAAGTTGGACGGCACATGCACAAAATGCCAGTGTAGGCAGACCTTGCACAACATACATACAACAACTGTGTGAGGATGCAGACTACAAACCAGGAGACCTGCCCAGGGCTATGGAAGATAGGGAGGGCTGGCGGAAAAGAGTCACGAGCATCCGTGAAACTATCACGACCAGATGATGATGATGACATCCGTGTGGTGATCTGACTTGTTGGGATTGCGGGGATACATTTCATGGCCTATTTTAGGTTAACCGTGACTAAACTATGACTTATATCAAATGCATCATTTCGGCGCGTAACATGGGACGTAGACGCGGAAATCTAACGGAACTGACATGCCCGTGTAAAGAGTACATTTGTGTCTGTAGACAGAATTCCCTTTCCTAGTGATGGTCAACACTTCGCATTTATTCGGATAAAACTTCATCATCCAAACCGACATTTCGCCAGTGTACCGAGGTCGCTCTGGAGTTTTTGTGAGTCCCCTAGACTTGAGACGGCCATGTAGATCATGTGTCGTCAATAAAAAGATGGGCCTTAGAGGCCAAAATGTCAGCACGGTCCCAGCACAGGCCCTTGCAGTACTCCAGATATAATAATATATCAGATATATCAGTTATGTAAGCGTTTCAGCAAGGGGCTAGCCCATCTTTCTAACTTTCTAATATATGCCGAGTGATTAGCAGAGAAAGCAGCACGTACCATTTTTAAATACTTGGTATGATCCGGCCTTGGTTTGAAGTAACGACCTCCCAGTTTCAAAGCGAGCATTCTACCTAATTGAGCCATTGCACCGGTGAGACCACAAGCAAGCTTATTTTTTGTTCAATTTTAGCAAAGTTCAGGTTACGTAAAAATTCAAGAACATTGATAACATTTTTGACTAACAAGCAAAATTATATTTAAATAACTCGTGATGGCCCCTCATCTTATAATACTCTGGGCCGACATAGCGAAAGCTCCTATATGCTGCGTCAGCTTCTGTTGTTGTCTTGTTGTGTCCGAATTCCACAGTAGTACAGAAGGCAATCCGGATTCTCCCCAGTGCAGAGAGGAAGAAAGCTTTTAAAAAACAGATGTTATTATGTTAGTATCCTTGCAGAACGTAAATATCTTTGCCAAAAACAAATTATGCGCATTTTCGTTATCAACTTTCAAAACAATTATGCTTATCGATTCTCTCTATGGACGGCCTTCGATACTTTTGGCCCCAAAACACTTTAGATACTTAGGTTGGTTGAAGGTGTGGATAACCTGTCGATCTGTTCTGCTGTTAGGTTTTAAAGCTAAATCAATTCAATTCAGTTCAATTTTATATATACTATACGTAACCTTTAATTTATACTATACGTGACAGTTTAGAAATAAAGAACTTTTGGAATGATAAAAAATACCCATATTAATTTTCAAGAAATTACATTGACATTCTTCTTGTTTTATTTACGCTACTTATACCAGGCCACTCGAACGACTGACTCGAGGAGACCTCAACAAGTACAAGTAAGTACAAGTAAGTATACCAGAAGAGTTTCTAAAAGGCTATATATATAT